TGTGTATGGTGTATATGAGGTAGGAATAACATGTTAAAAAAATAAGCACATGAAATTAACTGTAGAAGAAAATATAAATGGAGCATAACCAAAAGCTGGGAAGCCCCACTACCATCACTACAATATTCAGAGACACACTGCTCAACACTGTACAAAGTACTAGCCATTTTCCCCATTTGATCTGCAAATAACAGTTAATTATAGTAAAATTCTATATTTTAACTTCTTTGACAAGAAACTGTACTGGCGTGACATAATGTGTCATTTAATGTTAATAATGCATCATAAATTGTTTTTCTTCTTCAGTGAAGTATGCCAGAGGCTGTATTGGCAACACCTGGAGGAGGAGAACATGGGTTTTTGGAATCTTGAAGATCCGTGGTGATTCCAGAAGACCTGTTCTGCGACTAGTTAAAAGAAGAAACAAGCAGACTCTTCTCCCCATCATCAAACTGCATGTGAGGCCACGAAGTGTAGTCATCAGTGATGAATGGCATGCATACTCCACTCTTAGTCAGGTGGGATATGTCCATCATACAGCGAACCACAGTGTCAACTTTGTTCACCCGGTCACAGGGAACCATACCGAACACATTGAGAGGGCGTGGAACACCTACAGACGGATGGACGGATGGATGGATGGATACTTTATTGATCCCGATCCCGAAGGAAATTCTGCAGCCAGTAGCAGTCACACAACACAGGACAGAACAATAAATTTGAAAAAATCCTATCTACAGGTATATATATACAAATAGAAAAATACAACAATCTGGAACAATATCTATAACCTCAGATGAAAAGACGCAGTGCAATAATGACTGTACAAGGAGGCGCAGGTAACTGCAATACTGAATAAATATGTGCAGATATTGGTACCAAAATAAAGTGTCTAGTGTGGAGTGTCCAGATGTGCAAAATGCGCAATAAGGTGTGCAGAAAGTGCAATATATGCAGTAAGGTGTCCATATGTGCAGATGGATAAAAAGAAACATAAGATTTAGCATGAGAATTAAGACCTATGATTTGTGATTTAACATGAGATTCAGATTCAGTCCTCATCTCTTCCCTCTTCACTCTTCTCTTCTGGCCCCCCTGGGAAGAGTTGAAGAGCCTGATGGCTCTGGGGACAAAGGATCTCCTTAATCTGTCGGTTGAGCAGCTCTGTGACAGCAACCTGCCACTAAACATGCTCCTCCTGTCCATGATGATGGTGTGCAGTGGGTGGCCATCATCCTCCATAATGGAGAGCAGTTTGTGTAAAGTCGTTCTTTTAGCCACCTTGACCACACCTTGAGTCCAGTTCCACACCGACCACTGACCCCGCTGACCAGCTTGTCCAGTCGCATCTCGTCTCTCTTTTTCATGCTTCCGCCCCAGTACACCACAGCATAAAAAAGACAGCTGGCAACCATGGTCTGATAGAAAATCTGCAGGAGCTTCTTACAGATGTTAAAGGACCTCAGCTTCCTCAGGAAGTAGAGCCGGCTTTGCCCCTTCCTGTACAGAATGTCTGTGTTGGCTGACCAGTCCAACCTATCATCCAGTTCCAGATACCTGTAGGTCATTACCCTCTCCACTTCAACCCCCTCAATACAGATTGGCTGTGTGGGTGGCCTATCCCTGCGAAAGTCCACCACCATCTCCTTGGTCTTGGCAGTGTTCAGAAGCAGGTTCCCACAGCACCACTCCACAAAGTCCTTCGCCAGGGTCTTGTACTCCTTGTACAATAGCAATGTCATCCGAAAACTTCTGCATGTGGCACATCTCAGAGTTGTGCTGAAAGTCTGAGGTGTACAATGAAGAGAAAGGGGGAAAGTACAGTCCCTTGTGGTGCTCCTGTGCTGCTGACTTACAGTCTCTGATGTACAGTCCTTCAGCCTGACATACTGAGGTCTGCCAGTGAGGTAGTCAGTAATCCAGGAGACCAGGTGCAGATCCACTTGCATCCTTACCAGCTTATCTCTCAGTTGGAGGGGCTGAATGGTATTAAAGGCACTAGAAAAATCAAAGAACATGACTCTTACAGCACAACCACCCTTGTCCAGATAAGAGTGAGCCCCATGGCGAAAGTATAGCATGGCATCCTCCACTCCCACTTTCTCCCTGTAGGCAAACTGCAGGGGGTCTGTTGCGTGTCAAACCTGGGGTCTGAGAAGGTGTAGAAGAAGGCACTCCAGCGTCTTCATGACGTGATGTGTGATGTAAACATGAGGTGTGGCATCTTCAAGGAAATCAAAATGAAAAGGCCTTGAAAGATCAGCTACTGTTTATTAAATGGGCCTATTGGCTGGGAAAGAAGCGCAGAAAAGGAGTTCTTGGATGGCTTCTGAAGGATATTTGTGTAGTGTAATGGTTGTCTCAGGTAGGCCTATGTGTTAATGTCATGTGCAGCTTTGAGTTGGAGTTTTAGTTTTCCTGTCTGAAGCCCTGTTGTTACAATAAGTGAAATGGATATTCATGTTGCACACACACACTTCCTCTATTGCACACACTCTCACATACACACAAATTTAATGTTTTGTAACTTTTATCTTTTTTTTTTTGTAACTTTTATCTTCCTTTTTAGGATTTTATATGTCTATGCTGGAGTTACATATCACATGTACGTGTTTGTTTTGAACTGTTGAATTGACAAAGCATTGAAGGTTTGTTACTTTTTTGAACTGTGTGTGTAAATATTTTGTTTAACTCTCGTTTAAATAAAGTCTGTTGATAATTTACTGAATGCACTTATTTTTCCCTTTATTTGGAGTGTCCACATTCATAACTGTATATGTTTATGTGAAGTTACTGAACATGTAACAGGTATAGTACATGTCATCTCTAGGTACTCAACAAGCTGTTATGTAAGTAACACCAAGACTATATCTACTTAATGAAACACATCAGCAATATATCTACTTAACGTAAGTAATGTATCAACAAAACATCTACGTAATATAAGTAACATCAACAAAAAATCTACTTAATGTAAGTAATTTATCAACAAAACATCTTAATGTAAGAAATGTCAACAAAACATCTACTTAATGTAAGTAACATAACATATCTACGTAATGTCAATACATTAATTAGAAATAACTGCTGTCCATCTACAAACTGTAATAAAATAATCACTTGAATGTTCATGTTCTTCATTACCGCAAATTTACATATGTTGTTGATATGTTATTGATAGCCTTTTGAGAGTTTATTGATCATCTACAAAGGACCACTCCAAATAAAGTGTTACCCCTTATGGGTAGCTTTAACATGAAGGGAAAGGGGAAAAGAAGGCCCTTGAAGACACACACCTGTATTCTGTGATTAAAATTAAGCGTTTTCATATGTTCTGAAAATAATCTTTATTAATTGATGGGCAGGGGTGTAAAGAGAACTGAAAATCCCTACTCAAGTACAAGTACTGTTACTGTAGTGATAATTTACTCAAGTACAAGTAAAAGTATTAGTAAATAAAATTACCCAAGAGTAAATAAGTACTTTGTTGAAAAACTACTTAAGTACTGACTTACTTAGTTACTTTTTTGTATTTCCACTGTCACAACCTTAGAATATTTCTGAGCTGACTCAGCTACGTCACTGGAAATAATCTGTAGAGAAAAACACTCTGAGAGCTGAGACTGATCACAGTCTACTCTGCTAGTGCATATTTACACACCTTTCTGTGAACTGTGTAAGGAACAAGTTTTACATTAAACTGCATGTATTTCATGGTTAGATGATAATATAAGACTTCCTAGTTAGTTTTCACTAAAGTATTTCAAAATCCCTGAAAGGCTATGCAGAGGCTGTTACTGTTTAATTAACTTTATTTAAGAGAAAAAAAAAAAAACTGAGACAAAATTATGATTAGATTGCTTAATTAATAATGTAATGTTAGTAAGAGTCCTGCTGCCCATCAGCTCCCTGGACTCTAGCTTACGTTAATAGGAGTGAACCTCTACAGACAGTAAACACATTCACAGCCTTCAAACTGTATTTTTTCACTGATATCTGTTCAGAACTCTACCGTTAAAATCAGCAGCAACGTCAGCAATTTACCCAGGTTTGATTTTTACTGTAATATATTTCACTAGTAATCATGCTGATCACTTCATTGAATCAGAGATTATTACTGTATTTCACAGTTAAACAGCTGCACAGCCTCTCACACTTAGACAAACACCAAGGCAGAGAGAGAGAGAGAGAGAGAGAGAGAGAGAGAGAGAGAGAGAGAGAGAGAGAGAGAGACGGAGAGAGGAGGGAAGAAAAAGGAGACAGAGAGAGAGAGAAGAAGAAGAAGGAGAGAGAAACACAAACACATACTAACACCCCACTAACACTCACTAACACTTCACAGGCTCAGAACCAGAACACACTAGGACACCTGATTAGAGTGAACCAAATTACAAAACAGCTTAAACAGAATTATCTCATGTATTGGGAAACTAAGTCAAACTCACAGAGTAAAATGCAGTGTTATTTGGCCCTAAAACGTCAACACAGGGTACCTGATGACCTGAGCACACTGACTGACCCTAAACTGAGGTCCACCTTGACAAAATACAGACTCAGTCAGCACCACCTGGCCTTAGAGATGGGCAGACACAGGAAGTCTTGGCTACCCAAGGATCAAAGGCTGTGCCAGCAGAATAAGCCTGAGACTCACTTTCTGACTGAATGCACCAAATTTACTCAGATTAGAACAGAATTCTTTAGTAAAATCACCAAAACATGTCCTGTATTTGAGAATCTTCCCCTTACAGAGAAGTTGCTGTACGTTCTACACTGTAAACCCGAACAGTACTACTAACTTATAAACTTTATTGGTGTAGAAATCAAAACATGTTATTTAGTTAACCCAACATTAAAGTTTTGTATTATCTTAACTTATCATTACGTTTTAATTTGATATGAGTATATATTTATGAGTAAACATTGTCACCTACATTATAATTTATGAGTAAACAAAGACACGCAACGTCTGACGTCATCAACGTGCCTTGTGCCCCGGATTTACCATTCCCAAATGGCCAAGATGGCTGGACGTTAGCTGGGAGAAGAGTTTTGGAGCAAAACGGGTAAGTAGTTGTTAATGTTGTGAAGAAAACGGTTTGGGGGTCTTTATTTTTCAAACTAGGATTCGCGCCTGTATCAGTATCTGACGCCAGCTTGGAAAAATTACGTTAACGTTAAGCTAACGCATCATTATTCAAATAACAACAGGCTAATAGCAACAGGCTTTACCGGTCAGTCGTCAAAAAGATTCAGCAAAGTTTTAGCTACTTTCTAAAGTCTTGTATTCCTTCTTATATGCATTTTGGTGTCGAAGGTAAAATGCTTTTGATTTTTTTTTTACCGTTAACATTTACTAGTCTGTTGACAGCCAAGGTAACATTACTGCAGGGCTGATAAATTTAGCTGGTTAAGCTGGGAAGGTAGTTAGTGTTAGTTTTTAGTTAGCGTTAGCATCGTTTATAATTAACTGCTAATTCTTGAGCGTGTCTGAATGTTTGGTAAAATACAAAAAAGGCGCGATTTTTAAGTCTAGCTTGCTACACGACAAGGGTCGAGAATTTCACATCTGTTCGAACACCGAGTCAGTTGCTCATTACGTAGTTATTATATCCTGTCCTTGTTTGTGCACTTAAACGTGAACATTATCCCTCTGTTTCTTTCTTTCTTTCTTTTTTTTTTTATAGTTTTTGTTACTGTGTGTGCGCCTCTTGGACTACACAAAGCGCTGCTGAATGTTAATACAGCATGTGAAATTAGTTTGGTTAGTTCAGTTTTGCATTTAAAAATTACAAGCATCAAATTTTGGAAATTAATTAACTGAGATCATTGGAATTGTTATTAATTGTTTAAAATTTCTTTTTTTGCAGGGACATATTGACATCTACCAACAATTTCCTTCAACAGCAATCTAAGGTAAGTTTTGCGAAAAGCTTAGCCAATCTTTCCTTGCACAAATTTGATGGGACAGTGCAACACTTCTGAAAGTTAAGCCTGCTTATATGAACACTATTGTAATTAACAGTTTTTTTGTGCAGTGCTAATGCTGAACTCACTGCCCATTTTTTAAAAGAGTGTTAGATTTTCAGGGTGCAGGTCATTCAGTGGGGTGGAAGTGCAAGTTGTGTTCCGTGTCCTTAGATGGTAGGGCAAAATTATTTATGCACTATCGTTTGCAGCACAGTCATTATTCAAGAATTAGCCCTCTGCCGTGTCTCTATGACGAGTGTATTTGTACTTTTCAGTCATTTAATGCATTGAAAGCTCATTTGTCACGGTCTCGTAAGGATGCAGCCAAATCAGATAGAGAAGTAGATGCACATGCAATGTTTTCATGCTGCATGTGTACCTGTAAGCAGCCCTTTTCTGAAACAACACTGTTTAATCATTTCGAGAAGTCATTTACGAAAACATGAGATGGTAACATGCCCATTCAAAAACTGTAATTACCGCACAAATGTGTATTCCTCATTTAATGCACATAAAAGTAGAAAACATGTGGGTAGTTCAGACTATGATGATAATGTCGTCTCAGTAGAGAATCATGGTGCTCCAGTAACATCTTCTGCTGACTGTGATGATGAAGGACCTGCTCAGTGTTAGAGCTCATCTTTCTTTGACCTTTCTGAGGTTGAGAGTCAATGTGATACTGATAATTTGAAAGCCCAGTTGCGCCATAATTTAGCATCATTATTTTTAAAGATGCAAACTGTCCTTCACGTATCCAACATGGCAACTCAGGAAATAGTAGAACATTTGACTCAAATATTTGCCTTGTCCCAACCCCTCGTCAAGAAGACTATTAGAGATGTCTTACAGAGTCATGACATTGCTGCTACTGAAGCATCTCTTGATCAGATAGTCAGTGCTGTTATGGACAGTAATATTTTTGCCAGTGCAACAGTTAAAGGTGAAGACTTCTCTTCAACCAAGAGACGAAAAACTTATATTGAGAAAAATTTCCCTGTAGTAAAGCCTGTACAGTATGTGCTAGAGCCAGGGCACACAGTAGTACACGTTTCCATTCTTGAGATGATCCAGGAAGTGTTCAGACAAACAGACATTCTTGACAAAATTAAAGAAACAAAGACAGCACTTGAAGGCCATTATGTAAGCCACCAAGATGGGTCATATTTTAAAGATAATAAACTGTTGTCGTCAGAAGAGCTAAAGCTACCTCTCCTTTTGTACACTGATGATCTTGAAATAGCAAACCCACTTGGCACATCAAGAAAAATCCACAAGCTAAGTGCAGTGTACTGGGTATTTGCTGATCTTCCTAGTAAATACAGATCAGCCTTGCATGTGATTCAGCTAGCAGCATTGTGTAAAGTTTCTGACATTCAGAAATTTGGTTATGAAAGAGCACTTGGTCCTCTGTTAAAAGACATCAGTACTCTTGAACAAGATGGTGTGTTCATTGAGTCCATTGGTAAGGCAGTTCGGGGCACTGTCATGTGTGTGGTGTCTGACAATCTTGCAGCTCATGCTTTGGCAGGCTTTACAAAGTCTTTCAGAGCCAAATATTTTTGCAGATTCTGCACAGCTACTCAAGACCAAATTCAGTCTTACGAAGTAGGAGGTGGGGAATTTAGTCTGAGGACAAAAGCCAGCCATGACTGTGACGTGCAAGCTGTGATGCATGGGGAGAATCAGGATCAGTGTGGTGTTCAAGGAGATTGTGTTCTTAACCAGAGTTTAGAATATTTTCATACAATCACTGGTTTCCCACCTGATGTCCTGCATGATCTTTTTGAGGGCATTGTGCCCGTAGAGCTTGCCCTGTGTATTGGAGAGATGATCCGTTGCAAATACTTTACTCTTGAGTATTTAAACAAAAGAATTGTGTCATTTCCATACCAGCACACAGACAAGGTTGACAAACCAAAGCCTATCCCGAAAACATTTGCTGCAAAGAACACAATCGGCGGCAATGGTCATGAAAATGCTACATTGCTTAGACTGCTCCCTTTGATTATTGGTGATAAAATTCCAGAGGGAGATGGAGCATGGACAGTACTCATGGATTTGAAAGTGGTAGTTGAGTTGGGGCTGTCCTCGACATTTACAGAAGAAACTATCCAGTATTTGCAGACGAAAATACAGGACCATAGACAAGTGCTGCATTTCACACTCCGCCCTAAGCATCACTACATTGAACATTATCCAGATCTCATACGCAGTTTTGGGCCACTTGTCCACCTGTGGACAATGAGATTTGAGGGCAAACATCGCTTTTTCAAGCGTGTTGTTCAGGACACACAAAACTTTAAGAATGTGCTAAACACATTAGCAAACAGACATCAGTACATGGTGGCATACCATCTCAGTGCCCCATCATTCTTTAAACCACACCAGCAGACATCTAATGTCTCCTCTGTAATGGTGTCAGTGTTTCCTGATGTCGCTAGGGCATACATTGCTCACAAAACAGACAGCAACATGATTTACAACACATCAAGTGTCAACATTGATGGAACAGATTATGATGTAGGAATGTTTGTGTCCGTGGGACAGGTGGGAGAACTGCCTCAGTTCTGCAAAATTGAACAGATTCTTCTTGTTAATAACGAGGTTGTTCTTCTTAGCCGTGAACACAAATCACAATACATTGAACATCTGCAATCCTCTGAACTTTCTCCAGGGAATTTGATGGTTCATACCATATCGGAGCTCAATGACACATTACCTCTCTCTGCTTACAACACACAAGGAAGGCTTCTCATAACACCAAAACGATACATATTACTCCACTGAAGAGTGTTACATTTTACAACATGTATTCTTGTTGGTATTTTACATGACTGATGGAGGATAATGCCCCTTTGAAGAGACACTACTATACTACTACTGTAGACCATTTTCTTATAGCCCAGAAACATATATGCACTTCTTTTTGACAATGCACTTCACCCAGAAAGCTGTTGTAGTTACAAATGCTTTGGTATTCACATTTTTTATTTATATTGCAAACAAGAGAAACAAGCATTTGTAATTGCAAGATCTTCTTGGGAGAAGTGGAGCATTTTCAGAAAGAAATGCAGAGGTGCCAAGATTTTTGCCCATGATTGTAAAAATGTTTTGAAACAAACTGCATATCTTTTTTTGTGTGTTAAAACAGAACACTGGTATTGAAATGGCTGCTCCCCAGAAAATTGTGCTACGTGTATATATTGCAACAGATATGGCCTTGAAGCTCACTCTAAATGAGCGCCCAAAGTCAGTGAAAGAGCTGAAGAGCATAATGCAAGAGAAGTTCAAGCCAAGACTGGATAGTGACTTCAGCCTTCAGTATGAGGACCCCGACTTTGATGGACAACTTAGCTTACTTGTGGACATTGAGGAATTGCCGGAGAAGGGCACGTTGAAAGTAGTGAGATCAGAAAGTGATGACCCTTCAACAGCAAGTTCTGATACAGACATACTTCCGCATGTACCTTTAACACAGCGTCAGAAGAATTGGCCTGATTCTTTTCCTGTGCCAACATTTTCTTTTGAAGTGGAACATGTACTTGAAGAAGGAGACAGTGTTTTTGACAGGCCTGGAAAGACACTGAAATTGACACGATCCCAAAAGCACAACATCCTGGAAAAAATGGCTGAAACAATGCACAGTTTCAAACCTTACCCAAATGACAGCGAAGTGGGTAAGGCAGCTGAAGCTCTTATTGCTGCACATCCGTGCCTTAGAGAGCTTGGAAGTGACACTGGATGGTATGGATGGAAAGTCAGTTTGAAGTTCAAGATGGGGAATTATCGTTCAAAGCTGGCCAGATCTGGGTGTGCAGAGGTGTCCGTCAATGTCGGCAGGAGGAGCAAAAACAACCCTGAGAGTGATCACCCCCATTCCAATATTAAAAGAGCCAGACGTTCTGAGGTTAACTTCCTTCCCAACTTTCCCAGAGGAGAAAGCCAGGCTACTCTCGAAGAGATGAGACTACAAATCATACAAGAAGTTGAAAAGGCTGAGAGAAACCAGTTATTGATTGGAAAACTCATGCAGACCACCTTTGCTCTTTGTCGACAAGATATTGTTAAGGGAGATTTACTAGTGAGGGACTTTTTGATGAGCTGGCCCGCCCTGCGAATGGAGTCACAGGTAATGACTATTCTCTTAGTCTGCCCATCCTGAAACATTTGTTACAAAATCCCACCCAAACTCCATATTCTTACATGTCCTAATGTGTGTGTTTTAACATGTGATAATGTTTATAGCGGTGTAGAACACAGGAACTTTCACTTTCACTATAGCTCATTTAATTTGTCAATTAGCAAGCCAACAAGATGCTTGAAACCAGTATTTTGCAGACACATGTATTTTTGTGTCTGCAGGTGTTTGCAGAGTTCCACCGCATAACAAATGTGAACTTGCGCAAACAGTTCTACACAGAGCTCGACTGACACACATCACGACTGATTGCCTTGTTCAGGCAGAAGGCGTTGCGGACAGGCAAGACAGCAGAGGCGCTTCGAGAGATCCTTGGGACTTATGATTGCCAGGTATGTTTAAGATTAACTTTGCCAACAGCACAACATTGATCATATTTTGTGTAGACATTTCAGAGTATTGCAGCACAAAACTAAAGGAGTAAACTGACTAGAGTACATCAAACAAAGGTGCAGAGTTAAATTAAGGTTGAGGTTAATTAAGGCTAAGGACAACTTCAGTTGATGCAGTAGATTCAAATGTTCCAAGACTTGGCCAGGCACTGAAAACTCTCCACTATAAATATCAAATTTGCTTATCATCCTGTTATTACATAGAGCCATCTCAAAATAGCCATACTTTTTTATTTGTATGGTTCTTTGTTTTCTTTATCAGTGCAAGTTGCAGACCATTATCAAATGAATGCATCTTTGTTGAAAGGAACCACATGGGACATACCAGAAGCTTGACTCAGACTGTTATATTTTATACAAACATATCACAGATGTTAATTGAATGTTTTATGCACATCTTTGAATCCTTGTTGGGTAGACCTAGCCTGCAATTAAGTGCTGGGATAGTGACTGGAATTATAGTCACTGTTGTGTTGTTACACTGTCTCTCACTGTTTGTCTCTAGGGGTCAACCCCACCAAACACAAGAGGTCAGAAACAAAAGTATTCAACCTTGTTTCTGGTTAAAGGATACATACAGTACGATACTTGTGTGTCTAAGACTTGTTAGTTAGTCAATTAAAAATGTTGGCAATTCCAGAAAGATGGATCTATGAATGGCTATGAATGCTTAACAAATACAACCGTCTTAAAATGTGTTAAGTTTAAAAAAAGAAATTCATGTATTAGTATGGAGCTGAACCACTATACTACCAAATTGAATTGGAGGAATAAAAGATTGATTTGTTGTATAGAAATTATATAGGTAAATCAGACTTATGCTTAAGAAAGTTTTTACTATAACTACTTAATTTGATTTGTCAATCAAGGTAGAAAATGATGTCAATGTAAGATGCAGTGTGTCCCTTCGTGCACTTCCTGTCTACCTGCGCGAGGATGACTCGGAGTTCTTCAAGACCTACAATGTAAGCAATGGGATGGGTAAATATAAATTAATACAGTGTATACATATCAGATACAATTTTTGTTTACTTTATAATTCTGTTAAGATTTGTGACTGGAGCAGTGACTTGTAACCTTCCTTCTGCAACTCTCCTTATAATTGGATTGCTTTTATTTTGCAGCAGGAAGAGGAGCCAGATGTCACTGACACTCCGGTTGCTCTCCTCACTACTGGTGTGGACTCCTTCAGCCCCGAGAGCATCTCTGTTGTACTTGAGGGGGAAATTGTTGTGAGTGACCTTCCCAGGTTGTCTGATGCATTCATGGTGTTGTTTGGCCTGATCTATGCATTCAATTTAGAATATCCAAAGAAACTCATCCACACATTCACCTTTATTCAGAAAATAGTGATGTGTCTGGATGAGGGTAAACCACTGAAACCAGGCCTGCTGAGTTTGAAAAATGACTTGATGAAAGACTGAACCAAGCAAGAAGCTTGAATGCCCAAGTGCATAAGTGGTCCATACATGTACACTGACAAACCTCTTTAATAGACACCTTCTTGTATCTACACTCTGTCAATTTCATCAGTTCCACTGATCATTTAATTGCACTTCAGTTCTACAGTAATGCACTTTAGTTTGTCTGTTTTTCTGCATTTTTGTTAGCCTACTTCTACCCTATAACATGGTGGTGGTGTTAGTGGGTTTTCTGTTGGTACATTTGGATCAGACACAGCAGTGAAGCTAAGATGTTCACTCAGTGTCCACTCTTGGACACATAAGATCCAAAGAGGTGTCAGTGAACACCAATCAGGCATAACATTATGACCACCTCCTTGTTTCTACGCTCATTGTCCATTTTATCCACTTACTATATAGGTGCACTTTGTAGTTCTACAGTTACAGACTGTAGTCCATCTGTTTCTCTGCATACTTTGTTAGCCCCCTTTTACCCTGTTCTTCAGTGGTCAGGACCCCCATGGACCCTTTACAGAGCTGGTACTATTTGGGTGGTGGATCATTCTCAGCACTGCAGTAACACTGACGTGGTGGTGGTGTGTTAGTGTGTGTTACGCTGGTACGAGTGGATCAGATACAGCAGTGCTGCTGGAGTTTTTAAACCCTGTGTCCACTCACTGTCCACACTGTTAGACACGCCTACCTTGTCAGTCCACCTTGTAGTTGTAAAGTCAGAGACAATAGCTCATCTGCTGCTGCACAGTTTGTGTTGGTCATCCTCTAGTCCTTCATCAGTGGTCACAGGACGCTGTTGGCTGGATGTTTCTGGTTGGTGGACTATTCTCAGTCCAGCAGTGACACTGAGGTGTTTAAAAACTCCAGCAGCACTGCTGTGTCTGATCCACTCAGACCAGCGCAACACACACTAACACACCACCACCACGTCAGTGTTACTGCAGTGCTGAGAATGATCCACCACCCAAATAGTACCTACTCTGTGAGGGTCCATGGGGGTCCTGACCACTGAAGAACAGGGTGAAAGGGGGCTAACAAAGTATGCAGAGAAACAGATGGACTACAGTCTGTAACTGTAGAACTACAAAGTGCACCTATACAGTAAGTGGAGCTGATAAAATGGACAAAGAGCGTAGAAACAAGGAGGTGGTCATAATGTTGTGCTGTATGTATTTCATGCTACGTAACAGTACATTTTAACAGTGCCCTAAAACAGTTTGCAACTGTTTAAAAATGCAACTGACTGAACAGTTATTGATTTAACTTTTTTGTTGTTAGATGTTATTTGATTGTTGTTATTTGATTGTTTGGTTTGTTGTCTAGATATTATTGTAGTGTTCTCACTTGATTGCAAATCTTACAGTTCAAAAACTGAATGTTCTTCTTACTAATTAATATTCTGCCAGCCATCATGTTCAGCCTGATGTCAGAAAAGACCGTTCACTGTGATGTTCAATAGTTGTTTATGCAGTTGGTGTTTCACACATTTGAATGCCATAAAGAACATCAATATATATTGTTTATATAATATAAATGTTAATATATTTATTTTCTTTAAGGTAGCTGTGTAAGTATAAATGATGCTCAGGGAGAGAAGTGCACTTTTGTGTTTTCAGTCTGTTGTTTAGTGTTTACTGTGAAATATTTAATTACAGAAGAAAAAACTTCAAGGTCTGATAACAGTTGGTAGTGCCTTTGGAATGGCAGACTGTTTTATATGTTTTATAACTTTAATAAATAACTTGTTACTTGGTATTAATTCATGTTTTTGTGAATTACTTGCTTAAAATTTGGTATCTTGAATGTAATTGGTTGAAATGATCTTGACTAGGATTCAAGCAGTGTTTGAGTATGACACACTTTAATCTTTTGAGTAGATTTTCCTATATAAAAATAAGCGGTGTACTATTATATGTTTTGGGTATTTGTTAAGTTGGGAGAACTTAATTTAATTATATAATGTTAAATAAAACTAATGTAGTGTGTAGAACTTAAAAATATTATAAATTGTAATTATTATATATGAGTTCAGAAAAAATAAAATGTATATAAAACAAATAGTTCAGTAAAAATATAATTTTCAATTACAGTAAAAATATAATTTTTAATTACACTTAAGTTAAAAGATTTATTACATGAACTTAAATTTTATTAGGTAATCGGTTACAACAAAAGTTTTGAGTACTCTGAACTTATTTGGTTTTACAGTGTAGGAGAACATAAAGAGTGCTGCACACTGGCAGCGCAATACGTTCACACCTGCCACACTCTGAGGGACAGTGAGTGACCACACCATGTCAGAGATGCATACATAAAAACACACACATTCTGCTTATTATTATTATTATTATTATTATTATTATTATTGTTTTGTTGGTGGTGGTGTTATTATTATTATTATTATACCTGTTATATCTGTTCTTGCTTTATATCTGTTATTGCTTTTTGTATATGTTGTACTTGGTTCTCAATCTCCCTACAAAAGCTTTGGCAATTCAAGTGTTAACATTTGTCAAGACAGTAAAGCAACACTGAACTGAATTGAATTGAATTGAGAGAGAGAGAGAAAGAGAGAGAGAGAGAGAGGGTGGGGAGGGATCAGATCAGGTCAGTCAACGACAGCGCGACAGAATCATAGTTTAAGAAGAACCTGTATTACACCAGATTTCTTGTCTCACAGCCGTTCACGACCGTTTATCTCCACAACAGCAGCTAAACTAGGCTGTATTTTAAATGGGTAAGCTGTGGGCGACTCTTGTTAACTAAAGCAGCTGACAGATACTTGTAATAAAACATACGCAGCAGATTTCAAGTTTAATATACAGAATCACTATAAAAGGAAGAAGAAAACCGTAAACACAGTACCTGTTTAGATCCAATCAGGCAGCTCAGCTAATGTTCCCTTAGGCTGGAGTCGAGATGTGAGGGCAGATCTCAGCAGGTTTCGAGTTTGGTCACTGATAAGAACGCTGTTTTCTTTACTTCATGTGAAAACGAATATAGATATAGATTTGGATGTGGTTTGTTCCTCATGTGTGCTGGTTAAGTTCTCTGTCCTTCTCCACTAAACTGGACATTTCTGTAGTGTTTTTCCTGTTGGAGCTGCTGTTTTTTGATTGGTGAATCTTTTAAATTTAACCGCGCTTTGTTATCATTGGTTTACGAGCTGATATGCTCATAATTTATTTCTACACTGTAAAATAACAAAATTAAAGTATTTCTTTAAAAATTAACTCGAAAGTACTATAATTTAATTCTACTCCAAAACGTACTGTTACAGTAAAACTGTACTCAATTACAGTAATGAGAGTAAATGTAATTCGTTACTTACACCTCTGTTGATGGGATTGGATGGTGGGAGTTTGGACGTTGAATGTTTTATTATGATTAATTTGTATGAAATTCATGTTGTAGCTGCCGTTATAAAATGTGACAGAAGTGCCACTGAAGTGGAGATACGGAATGCAGTGTCTTTAAACATGCACCTGGAAGAATGGGGGGTGTGTGATACAGTCAATAACCCCTTTAGGCACATGCTTATTATTTAGTCTTTAATTTAAAAGTAGTTCAGTAACTACAATGAATTATGACGTAACTGCAATGATTTGTTTGTAACTGAATTGTTTTATACATAAGGAGTCTGTGAGGTTAAAATGTTTGCCATTATTCTCTCTATTCTCTTTCTCTCTCTCTCTCTCTCTCTCTCTCTCTCTCTCTCTCTCTCTCTCTCTCTCTCTTCAAGTTGAAAATTGTTTTCTAAGTATCTACATGTCATTCATTCAGTTAAGTATATGCATTATTAAATTAAAGTAAATTAAAGAGCAAGTTACACATATTTTTTGCATATAACTGATTAAATATTTATTGAACAATGATTGCGCAAACTGTAGAATGTCAACACACAAGACTAAATTTCAATGTTTACAGGACGTCTAGAAGGTGACTTCTAAAAGACGTCCAAAAAAGAAGTCTTAAAAACTTTCATTCTGCACCCTCTGAGGACGTCATTTAGACAACCAGGTAAGACGTAATAAAGACATCTATTTAACATGTTTTGCTCACTGGGAGAGTAACATTGACTTCTTGAGATATTCAAGTATGCAGCACACATGCTATATGCTAACATATAACATCGCTGTGGTGAAAATGTAAGGGTTTCTGAGCATAATTTACATATTAATGTAATTTTTTCCATATTAATGTGAAATCCAAACTGCAGTATCCATTTCTTATTTAGAGCATTCACAACGTTGCTAGCTAAATCAGCATGCTTTAGTCTAGTTCCAGTAGCTACTTAGTTTAGGCTACAGGCTCCATAATAGGCTATACTAGTGATTAGATGAGAAATTAAAGCTCGTTTTGTTACCTACACATAACAGACTACAACTGGTATGAGAACATTCACTGTTAACTAGCATATTGATGGTATAGTATCATGTATCTAACATGATGTCCACTGTCCCAGTAAACACTCATACCATGGGGCACATGCTCTCAACCATGCATGCCGCTAATCCTCACTCGGGGCCACGTCTTGTCTCCCCAAAGTGCTACCCCGGCGTTCTCGCTGGACCTTGTCTAGTACCCCTCACTGCGGCTTCTTTCGCTGTCCTCCGCCACACTCTGCTGCTGGTCTTTGTTGTGCTGTCATCGTTTTTGTGCCCTGTCCTCACCATGCTGCACCTTTTTCTGCAATCTTCAGCTGGGCTCGCTCTTCTTCGTTGATCATAGTATCGCTTTTTTCCTCCAAACCACTAGGGGGCGATTCCACTTCTGACACCAAAGAAGGAGACACAGGAAACATAGCACTTTCAGGAAAGGCTCTTTTATTGAACAGGCAGCAGAGGGACATTACTGACTAGCACCTCAAAAAGGCTGAGATAGCAGGCAGGTCATCAACAGCCATGCATTTCATTCTGACGGTAGGCACCAACACTGTCCCAACTACCCCATAGCCAAGTACAGTAGCACACACACATATATGCAATATTATTGTCCATACCACCAACTCTTTACAAATTAAAATCTCCTACAGCACTCGCAGGACTTTCCTAGGAGGCTCTGTGTGTCCACTGCCACACAAACCAATAGTGGAACGCTACAGTGTTAATTATTTTAGGGTAAACAACAAAAACATCTGTTGGATAATATCAGATAAAAGGTACTGTATAAGTAAATAAATATAACTTAAAAGGTACAGTAATAGTCTATCAGGGTCAATGATTAGTTGTAAAAGGTTAAGGTTAACACAAACTTCTTTCAAACACCACAAATTTCTACTCAACAGCATTTTTTTACTAAAATTTACTGTTTAACTTTTTAAAATCATTTTATTTTTGTTTGATACATAAACATGTTAAATTTTTTTTGACAGGAATACAATTCGTTGTACCTAGAAGGTAATGTAAACTGACATTGGATTTGGAAATTTACAAGAATTAGGGTTAAAAGCAATTGTTTTTTTTGTTTTTTTTCATTATCCCAGTTTTCTCCAGTCTATCAGCTGTACATGTTGATTTAAGGGACTTGCTACACAGTTAGCAGTTTGCATCTTTCCACCAAGTTGGGCTGGGTTTAAAATCCAGTTGGGGTCGGGGTTTTGGGTTTTTACTCTCAAAATTTACAGCAGCTGCCAAAAATGTTTGATTGCAGTTAAAATTAATCATTTTATGAATGTTTACTGATGTTGAATATCTGGCAAACTAAATATCACTTGATACAAAAAAACAAAAAACATACAAGGTAAAACCAAATTATAGTACTGTATTTAGGTAAGTGACATCACCATCTGTGTAAAGAGATGTCATATTTGGTTTGCTATGTTAGTCTAGCAGACTTACTGGGCCACAACCACCCCATGTTTAAACAATTACCTTTGCCAAAAATCAGAATAATCTCTGGCCCAATCAGCTTGATGTCTTGGTTTCTACTGCCCATACAAACAAATGCCTTTCAAGTTCCTTTTCTCTTAAATTTCTCTCCTCACTTTCATACACACTTATTTTGAACCAACAAATGCAGTTAAACTACTCTACCTGCAGAACACTAGCATATCGTCGCTGTTCAAAGAGAAACATGTATCTCCATTTTTTGTGATTTATACTTTTCTGCATCGTTTGAACATGGCAGCTGTCCCTTATGTTGTGTGAAAAATTAATAATGATTTGAGCATTAGAAATGCTCCAACATTGCTTAGAAGAAAATATTTTTCCATTATCTTACACTGAAAGTAAGGAATGTTTTTGCCCTCTCCTGTAAAGTTACTATTTTGGAGATAATTTTTTTTGAACACCGTTGATATGCAAGATAAAGCTTTAAAGATTCTTTTTTTAAAAACCTTTAAAAACATTTAATCTGATTTAAAAAATGAAAACAGCTAGGGCAGTGCATTTAGTGTAATTGTAAGTGCTGTAATTATAGCATGCATTATGTCACCAAAAGATTGATTCAATGAGAAACTGACCAACTGACCAGGTTATTAATAACCTAAGTGATGTGTTGTGTGGACATTTCTTATCAAGTTATTTCTTATCACACTGGAACAGCATATGTCTTTTTAAGGAGTGGAGAAAAGACAATGTACATATTATCTGGGAGGTTAAAAATAAATGTGGTGAGGTTGAAGGACTCTCTGACGGCTCCCCTTCTCTCTTTCTGTCCCTCCCTTTTGCTCTCTCTCATCTGTGGCTAAAACTGGATAAATACTCAGAGAGAACATTTTAGCATTAATCTCAGAAAGCACCAGGACTGCTACTTTCTTTGCAAGTAAGTTGTGAGCTCATCATTTAGACTATATGCTATCACTGGTTATATGTCTTTATGTTAGAATGCATAGTGTACATTACAGTAATAAATGCAGTTAAAAAAATCTTTAGGACAAACGAAAGATGTCAGACAATGAAGAAGTGGAAAAGTATGAGTAAGTGTGTTGGTACCTTTTTGTATTTGTATTCTTCACAAATAAGCGCTATTTGTCAACAAGAATATTCCATACACATGTTGCAGCAATAAATATGTTTAGAAATTGCATAGTATAAACATCATATATATTGTCAGTACATTTCAAAAATTAGTTCACTGCTGTAACTTTATTCTGTATAGCATATTCAATGTTAGGGCATGCTGAGACCACATGCTGTATTTTGTCAGTAATTTCAAGAATGACACTAACTGATCAACTGTCTTTTACTCCCCAGGGTGCAAATGGGTATGTCTTAAATTTGTTTCTATTTCTGTAGAAATTAAGAACTTAAATAATATTACTCTTTAGTACACTTTACTTTTGTGTTGGTAAAGTGAAGTTAAAGCATGCACAAGGTTCATATGAATCTGATGCCATGTTTTGTTGCAAGTTATAGGTATTTCTGTTCTAAAATATTTACATGACAATTAGCAGGCTAAATATTCGTTTGAATTTCTAAATGCCACAGCTTAAAAATAGCTTAAAAATGTGATGTTTGTGGATTGGGAACTGTCTTAGGTGCTTGGTTTTTCAGCTTTTGAACAAAGAACAAATCTGACTTCTTTATTTATGCTCAAAATATACATGGCATGAACAGAAGAGGAGGTCCACAAAGGTATGAACTTCCTAAATCACTACAATTCTGTGTCCTTCTCTTGAATTCTATGCCCCTATGTTGGAATTTCTCCTCCAAATGTCATTGTAGTTGATTGTGTATTCATGGTACACCTTGAGTATTTGACTTATATGTATGTATGTATGTATGTATGTCCACTAACCCCAAACTGAGCATGGCTTTTGGTCATTTGCTTTCCTGATTTTTAACACAAGAACACAAATTCAGATAAACTGATGTACGCCCCTACACACCATTGGGTATGGGCAAAGGGATCAACCTACAATTTATATGTCTCAAAAATGCGTGTCTGTTTTCTTGAATATTGGAATATACTGAGGGAAACAATGTTGTTTAAATAAAAGTGTCAACAGCTAGGCTAGTAAAAGTCACAAGGAATTATCTTGTTTGCCCTCATTCCAACAGTTAATGGTTATGCTGAAATGTTTTCTACATAAAATTTATCTAATCATTTACAAGTGGTAGGGCAGATGGAAACTAATAGGCATTATCCATTGCGATAAAACACAGAAATGTTGACTAATAAATGCTCTAATTTTGTGTTCATGCTGTCTCTCCAGTTTAGAACTGCCGTAAATGTTACAACTCAAGTGCATATCTGAGTGCTAACAAACTCATTTGACTTTAAGTCAGCAGGTGTCAGAGAAAATAACATGTTATCCATATATCAATATGTGTTTGCTAGTTAAATGTTTTTCTTTTAGGCTGATCAAGAATATGCGCTAACCATGTAACATTTTGGCTTGCTCTTGGGTTCCCATCCCAATCCTGCCACCCCATGCTCTGAATATTTTTGTGTGTATTCCCTATTCTACACACAGGACACCAGGCGATGAAGAGTTGAATCTGGTGTGCTAGATGAGACAAGGCACAAAAATGTGCATAATGTGGGGCTGCCAGGACTGGGGTTAGAAACCCCTGGACTTGATCATATTGCAACATGAGGGATTCTCACAAGAGACTCGGGGGAGTCAAGGTTCTTAGTGTTACTTTAATTTCTGCAGAAGGAGTGTACAAAAACTAAAGGGAAAACACAATGCTCTCAGCTCACACTGTTAGCTGACTTCGCTCCATCACCCAGCTACATCCACATACAGCATAACCTAGTCCTGCCCTTCAAAATTAGAGTCCCTGAAAAACACAGCATGACAAATGGTAACATTCCTTATAAACTAAATAGCTTAAAATAAACATGAAGACCATTTTTTTTCTAAATAGAATATGAGTGCTCTGACGCGAGATTGCATCTCTCTTTGTCCAAGAGCAGCGACCCTGCAGCTTACCAGTCCCACAAGACAAAGTCTTTTAAACATTCAAGAGCCCATCACCTCCTCCCTGAGAGCTTCCAGCCGAAGGGGATATCTAGCGTACCCCTGGGTTCGGTCTCTTTTCTGTCCATTATGTTACGGTCCTCCTGGGTCACTAAGGGGTGAGGATTTCAAAGCTGCTGTGCTCCAACTATCCAGATAACCTCAACCTGAAGGCGTCTCTGAATGGCTGGAGAGTGTTGGTCAGGTCCTAGTGGGCTACGTTCTAGAGGGCCCTGAGGACTAGGGCGCCCTACCTAATCCTCCAGATACAGGGCCAGACCTCTCTCCTGGCTTGAAATCCTGGCCCTTACCTGCAGGTCATAGTTCTGGATCTGCAAAAACCCCACCTGGGCCAGGTGCTCCCTCATCAACTGATGGATCGCCTCCATCCTCTGCTGCAGAGCCACGATATAATCTGGAGAAAGTTCCTCAGGTAGTTGGTCATCTGGGGCTCTGCCATATAAGAGAAGATGGACTCTCAACTCCTGCTCCATCATAAGAGCACTTGGAGTGCATCCAGTAGATTCTTGTATCGCTGTATGACAGGTAAAGAGCGACAGGGGCAGGTGCTCATCCTTGTCACACTCTTTATCAACTTGCAGAACCACTCTACATCAGCCCAGCTTCACACCGAGAAGAACTGGGCAGCCAGCCGTTTCCATATTTTTTATGGCAAAGTGGCCTGTTCGCACCACCCCATTGACAAGATACAAAACCTGCTGAGGGCAGGAAACGGGGACCACCAGTTGCACCCCTCTGCCGCTTTACTCAGATTTCTGCATAAACAACGTACAAAAACAAAAGGGAAAACACAATATTGCACTAGTTCTGAGCTCACACACAACCAAACAATTGTTAATTTTAATAAAGAGTCATTTGTAAATAATTCGGTACATAGGCACTAAAGGATAGATTAATAAGTGTGCAGAGAGATCCTAGAGACATGAGATTAACCGAATAAACAAACTGTGCTGAGCTGAAACTCAGAAATAGCTATTTTATGGGATTTGAGCAGTATACAGAATGGAATATAAAAGCTAATGTTATGACTGATCTAGGTTTGAACTAAAAAGGGAGGCAGAGTAACACAGCGCCGAGACTGAATCATATAGCTATAGAGGTGAGGATGCCTTGCTACTGTAAAGCCTGGGGAGGAGAGCCACGGACCTGTGTGCTGGTTAGAGGAGGGTGCTTGGGTCACAGCAGAGTCACTGGGGCCATTACCCAAGACCAGCTGACTTGTGTCGGTCTCTTGTGAGGATGGCGGACTCTTCCAGTTCTTCAGCAGTGGCACTGGCCTGCTAAAGCAAACTTGCTGGTCAGTGCTGTTTTATTTCTGTTTGTAATTCTTAAACTATGCTCGCACATTTTGCGATGACTTATCATTGGCCAAATAAAACTTGAATCTTGAATGAATCGATGCAAAACAAACACAGCTCGGTTAGACTCTTCAATGTGCAAATGCTGTGAGTCTAATAATTAACAACACGTCTGTCAGATTTCTGTGTGAGTTAAGATAAAAAACAAACTGAACATAGATACCACGACCTGAGACATGATACAAAAATAAAAGTCTGCAGATTTAAAGTACAAAGTATGAGCTCTTCTTATGTTACATTTTTTTTTTGTTTCCTCTGTCTGTGGCCTGATATATGAACAGTCCTTTTTGTGAGCAGAGTTAAGGTGGGGAAAAGATGTTTCACACTCAATTTCCTTATGAATATGCAATCTCTTTGTCTGAGTATCTGCTCAAAGTAACCACAAGACAACTTTACATACATGGATTTCTGAGCGCGATTGCATAGCATTAAGTAAACTTTATATCAATCAACCTTTATTTAAACTCATGGTACATTGTGGGAGACCCTCATTTACAATGTAGCAGAGCCAATACAGAAATCAGGTTGAGAAATTAAAACATCTCAAATGATAAAAGAGTAATAATAATCATAGTAGTAAATTAAAAAAAGATCAATAAGCCATTAAAATTACAACAATATAGTAAGTTAAATAAGATAAATTAGGGACAAATAAAAAATATAATAAATAAAATGAATAAAGAAATGAAAGATGCAAAAACAATAGCTTGTTAAAATAGATCAAAATAGAATAATAAAAATGAAACAAAAACTAAAACATCCCAAAAAGACACTTAAAAAAAAAAAAAGTTAAAAGTTAACTAAAATCACATAAAACAGTTGCAGGCTGATTTTATCAGACTCTTTGTCATTTCGCTAGCTACTAACTAGGCGAGACTGTTATCTGTGTTGCTGTGTGACCCACAGTCTGCGTGCCAAGCTTCAGCTTTAAAGGTTGGTGAATTAGCAGTTATACATTAACTCCAGCGTTTAAGACCATTTATTGTTACAACTGTGTTATAACGATCAGCAGAGCTTTATTTTACAGCAAAGGAGGATTATGTTATTTTAAGCTTGACAGTTTTGTGCTAAGCATTGTCAACTGTTAAAATAAAACTGCTCCAATTTAAACATTTCAGCAGGATATGCACATACATGACATTCAGAGTCCTTTGTTAAACTTCAGAAACACTTTAGCCTCAAAATTCTTATCAGTGACCCGGGCTCTGCGCAGTACTATTAGTAATAGCCTGTTAAAAAAATGTTTTATTAACTCTTTATTAAGATGTCAGCAACACGCGGCTCTTTTACTGCCCTGTTGCAGCTCCACAGTAGAACTGCATTTTTAGGTAAAATAACATAATCCTCCTTTGCTGTAAAATAAAGCTCTGCTGATCGTTATAACACAGTTGTAACAATAAATGGTCTTAAAAACTAAATCAGAGTATATGTGAGTAACGTGGGATGAAAAAAATGACATAGAGAAATGTGGGTCAGTATGGGTGTGTAAAATAGCTTAGGGACCTGCCCTGAGTGAGTACATGCAGTTTGGTAGCTGTCAGGTGAAAAAACAATAGAGCTTTTGTGGGAGCAAAAATGAATGGGAGTCTACGTGAGAAACCAGGAAAGAAAAAATGACACAGTGTGGGTTAGAACAATATTGAATTTGTGCTTGGGGGCTTGCACTGATAGTACATGCAAAAGGGTGGTTTTTGGTCACGCAGAAGTACAGTAGATGGGTGTGCCACTTTTGTACTCATTTATTACTATGGAGAAAAAAATAATTATTTAACGACAGTTGTACATAAAACATACATCAGGTCAAAAAGCTGTATTTCTATCAAGTTTAATAACATTTTCAAATAAAGTAATAATTATCTGAGATTTTAATGTCCACTTTGATAAACCACAAGATGCACTAAGTAAGGCATTTATATCTATCTTAGACTCTGTAGGTTTCCCTCAAAATGTAAAGGGGCCCACTCATTATTGCAGCCACACTCTAGACTTAATTTTGACCTTTGGTGTAAACATAGATCATTAACTAAGCTCATATGAAATTCACTTTAGTCATAACGTACGTTCATCACCATGCTATCGTGTTAAGCAGACTGTAACTTCCTCCACAGCTGGTGGCTTTATCAGAAACCTCCCACAATTATCAGCTTCAGTCAGCTGTCCACCTAATCCTACTGAATTAGATATTATGACCAAGTTCTTAGAGGATACTTTTCATTCTACTTTACATAATGTGGCTCCATTAACAAGTACAAAAAAAACCTTGCCCCATGGTATAATGATCATACTCGAG